TATTTAGGTATGTGTAGTGTAAGCATATACAATTTTATGACATACAACAAAGAAAAACTTATTATATGATCTTAGAATCATGTGGTCTCAACCATTAATATTGTACCACATTTTAGAATTTTATAATTTACAAGAAAAGTTTTTACGTGTCACACAGTGAATGATTAAAATTAAATGGTCCTGAATCACCAAAAATATAGTTATTCTGTAAAATAATAAATACAATTATTAGATTTTATTTAAATAATCATCTTAAGGAAAGTATATACTTCATTTTTTAAGTAATTATGTCTTATATATATATATATGAATTGGGTCAAGTAAAAAGACTTAATTATTGTGAAAAATAAATAAATATAAATTATTAATTCTTATTTAAATAGTTAACATTAAAAAAATGCATATAAAACTTTTAAATATGTAATTACTAATTAACTTTTAATTTTAAATAGTTATATATAATTATATGTTCTAAATTTGTAGATCTTATATTCTTAAAATAAGATATGTATCAGCTCACGCTCTTACATTTTTATTTTTTATTTTTGGTCGATCTCACGCTCTTATATATGATAAAATAGAATTACATGCAAGAAGATATGCAAGTCAGTTTTGTTCAGCTTCTGCTGTGTGCTTAGGCGTCAATGAAAATGCCTTCACAAGGGGCTGTCCCAAATTTGGTCTTATGTCATATCAAATTAAGGACCTTGTGGAAGAATTTTTATGCCTGGTTTTCGGCCTACGACGGTGAATGAGTGAATCAGACATTGCGCAAACTCCTTTTCTTTCTTAAAGACAAATTAATATTTAGACAAAAAATATATATATACATTTATCCACGCTTTTCAACCTCCGAGTTTGTAGAGCCACTGAATGCAAAAATTTGATACCTTAATTGCAACTTAGCTTGTAATAAATTTTCTAATTAATTTTAATAATTATTAAAAAATAAATAAAAAAGATGAAATACTTGATCCCGGTTAAAGTATTTTTTTCACCATCATCATACTCAACTCTTGTCATGAGAATGATTTTCTAATCTCGGGTTTTTTGCCTGTATAGGGTTAAAACCAAAACATTTTATCCGTATGGGGTTATTTGATAAGAAATTCCCTGCCTAGGGTGATTTGTGAGTGTCGTCAAAACGTCTGGCGACACATGATCAAGTATCGGCTGAAAGAATGCCGACACAGGTGCCAGAACCCAGTACTGAGAGCGGTTCAAATCGAACCACTCTCACAAGTCCGTTTTAGAGAGCGGTTCAAAATGAACCGCTCTCAAAAGTCCTGTTAGAAAGCGGTTCACACTAGTGTCGGGTTGTTCAGGACCGACACACACTCATTGGTCCAGGCTCTCCATCTTTCTTCTGTTATTCATCTTCTTCGGTGAAAATTTTTTGCAAACATACTGCGCAAACGCTGGAGGTGGAGTGGAGAAACCGGGCAGTTGAATGCAAAAGTTTTAAAGCTTTGAAAGGTAAGAAAAAAAACATTATAGTGTATATTAGATATAAATATAAAATATTTATTCTTGTTTCCGTTTTTGGTCCCAGGAATTGCAATCTGTGGTGGTTCAGGGTATTGTGAGAGGGACTTTCGGTGGTGTAGATTCTTAGCAAAAGGAGGTTAGTAAAAATTTATATTTATAGTGATTTTGTTATGCATGTAAAAAATAGGAAAATAGGAAAATAGAAAAATAGAAAAATAGGAATATAGAAAAATAAAAAAATAAAAAAATAGTTAAATTAAAATATATAATTTTCTTGTTACTTATGTAAAAAATAATTAAATAAGAAATATAAAAGAATTAAATTGAATAAATATATGAGGAAAAATTATGTATGTTATTATTATAAAGTTAATAAAATATAAAATTATGAATAACAAAATAAAATTGAAATAATAAGAATGAAAAATATTAATTAATAAATTTATATTATAAAAATATAAGGAATTAAGTGAAATAAAGATGAATATATAAGCAATGTAAGTTAAATAAAATTGAAAATATTATTTTAAAATATAAATGACTGAAAATAAAAATATTAGATCAATATTAATTTAGACATTTGAATATTTTAAAAAGTTTGTAGTTATTTAAATGATTTTAATCAATAATAATAAATTACAATTTTATGCATGTAAAAAAACAAAAAAAGGGAAAGAGAAAAATAGGAAAATAAATAAATTAAAATTGATTTTTCGTTTTATTTATGTAGAAAACTGTATTTAAAAGTAAAAATGATGATGATATTATTATTGTTACACAAATATTATTATCTTAAAATAACAAAAAAAAATAATTAGAAAAATATTATTTGAAGGTACAAATTGTTTAATACTAAAATGATATTGTTTTTATTAAATTTGGTTGCTTATATTATAAATTTGAAGTAAATAGTTTACTTTGTATATATAGATTTTAGATGGCATCATCTTCGTCTCGTAGTAGGGTGTTAAATCCTGACCCCGAGGATGGTTCATTACTGCGCTATCAGTCTATTCATGTTTCAGAGCATATTTGGGATGGTCATGAACACCCAATATTGAGAGTGAGAAGAGGTCATTTCATACATGCTGGCATGGAGGGAGTACCAGTAGAGATTATTCCTTATTTGACAGTAGCAGGATTTGCTGGAGTAGCACAGTTGGCTAGTATTCTTATTGACCGCCAATTGATTACAGCGTTGGTAGAAAGATGGAGGCCAGAGACCCATACATTTCATATGCCCCCTGGAGAGTGTGCTATTACTCTTCAAGACATTGCTATTCAGATGGGTCTTCGTATTGATGGAAGACCAGTTATTGCCCCTACAGGAGGTGACAGGGCACAAATTGTTGAAGATTTATTGGGAATTAGACCACCTAATTCTGCATTCATGGGGAGCAGCTTGAAACTTACTTGGTTGGATGAGCATTTTTCCCATGTTGGGTTGCACAACCAAAATCCCATTCAGCTAACTCGCTTTGCAAGAGCATATATTTTGAGACTTATTGGTGGGTTTATGTTAGCTGATCATTCTAGTAGCAGGGTCCCAGTTAGGTACCTTCCTTTACTTGAGGATTTAGAGATAACTGGACAATATAGTTGGGGAAGTGCAGCGTTAGCCTTCCTATACAGAGAGTTATGCATGTCCACGAATATTGATTGGTCTGATATTAGAGGATTGACTCCACTTGTGATGCTGTGGGCGTGGGATAGGTTCCCATTTCTATCTCTGGGTGATCCCCCTTACACACAGAATGATCTTCCTTATGGTGCACGGTATGTCTATAATATTAAAACTTTCATTCAATATTTACACAACAGTATTTTATTACAAACAGTCATGCTAATATTTATGTTTTTATAGGTGGTTAAGATTTCAAAATTTTAAGAAGGGGAGAAAGGATCTAGCTTACTTTAGGTTCAAATTTGATCATTTGAAACGTGATTAGGTATGCGTTATTTGTTTATGATATATGTTATCATCAATTAATAATTATGAATAATTACAATAATATTTTGTACACTTGCAGCTTGTGTGGCAACCATATAGTATAGATTTGATGCATACTTTGCCTGCCATATGCACTGAGGGCATGCATATATGGAGAGCTATTGTGCCGCTTATTTGTTTCCAAATATGTGAATGGCACCAGCCCGATCGTACCATGCGTCAATTTGGGATGGTACAACATATTCCTCATGCTCCTTATCAGCCAGACCAGCTACATGACATTACTCTTAGAGGGAAGACTGCTGACAATTGGGAGTCAAAGTTCAGGGGCGTACTAGAGCATTGGGACATGAGATTAGATTGGGTTGTGAGTAATGAACCACAAATTGGTCTACTGAGTTCGAACTCTGAATACATGCGGTGGTACCATACTCATACTAGACGATGGATGAGCAGAGATGCTGCAGTGTTTGCATTACTTGTACGTATAGATCGTTCTAGTAAACGATTTTGTTTGTTTAATAGAATCTAATCTGAATGTAATGGTTATGCAGGGAGATGCTCATGAGAGGGCCTATTACTTGTGTAATGATGGGAGGGACACATTTTCATTTGAGGAGATGAAGGATTTGTGTGAGACGATGTTAGCCTTGCAAAATGAGCAGGAACGTATCTTAGAGCCTTCATCCTCATGTGATCCTCCTATCCAGAGTGGAAATCTAGATGAGCCTCAGATTGACATTGGTATTGGTGAACAACGTCGGGAAGGCAAAGGTTTGCAACGTCGACGAACGTCATTTCAGGTATTGTTACCTTATGCTTCATTGGGTCATTTTACTTAAATTATAACATGTTTCATTTGAACATACTTATGTGTTTAAAATTGCAGGCCACAGATTTTACATTGCCCCCTTTGCCCGAACGAGGAGATGGTGTTTATTATGTCCCACCACCTTTTCCGTTTCAACAATCACAATGGACACAGTCATCTTATGTTCACTCATCACAGCAATCAAACGTCCCTCCTGCATCTCCATTTTTCAGCGGTGAATTTTATGTTCCTGACGCTAGCCTTTTCATGACACCTCCTCCATATGAGCCAATGTTTTTCACACCGAGTGCACCCGGTGTAGGCACTCATCAAAGTGGATGTAGTGAGCAAACAACATCATTGGTACCTGGGCATGACCGTGGAATTGATCTTAATGCTGAATTCATTGCAGCCTCAGATGCAGCAGGAGCTGATGTGAGACGTAACCCTCACCGTGGAGCGCGAGATCGTCGTCGACAGTGCATTCTCACACCTCATGAGGAGGGACCTCACGAGCAGTCATTGAATTCTGATTGAGACTATGTTATGATACTGTATTTGAAAACTTTATTTGTTTGTTTAATGAATACATGCTTTTGTTTAAATGCACGACTCAGTTATAATTTGCCACATTCTACACATTCGACATCAAACAAGATTAATCAAACAACATACATTAATAAGACAACATACCACAATAAGACAACATACATTAATAAAATCTAGCACACTTTTTACAATCATACGAAACTAGTCATGATTAATGTTAGCATTGCTTTGTTGAGTACAATGACGTTGATTATGACCTGGTTGTCGACATAACCTACATCGTTGTCGCGGTTGTGACTCAACCCAATCCATTTCATTTCTAATTCTACAAGCCTTTAGTCTTCCTTTACCTCGTGCTCTATCTTGATCAGGCAACAACTTCCATTCATCATTTTGTAAAATGTTTGCTTCATTTCCAAGCGGCCACCACTGAGATGAGTATGCGTTCACAACATACTGCAGAGTATATACAGGATCAACATACTGCCAAAAGTCTATACTTACAGTAACACAAGCGGCTATGACATGTGAACAAGGGTATCGGTATGCCTGAAATTTGCCACATTCACATTCACGTGTAGATAATATCACACTCCACTTATGACCCCCCCCTTTGTGTCATTGGATTAAAAGCCTCTTCAATCTCGAACCTTGTACTTTGTATGTCGTAACGACGAACCTGATGCGAAGATGCTTCTTCTTGATTTTTTTCTATAGCTTCAATTAATTTACGACAATACCTTTTACCATTGTTCATGTCATTGATTGCGCTTTCACCCCGTTTGACAAAATATTCGACCAATCTACTATAGGTTGCTTTCACAAGGGCAGTAATTGGGAGATTTCTTGCCCCTTTTAAAACTTTATTCACTGACTCAGACAAATTAGTCGTCATGTGATCATAACGCCGCCCTTCATGATCATAAGCCAAGCTCCACTTTTCCTTTGATATGTTGTCAATCCATGTTTGAACTTCAGGAGAATACGAACGAAATTTATTAAGACCAGCTTCAAATCTTTGCTTGCAAGGTGTATACGCTACATTTAAATAAGTTATACAGTTAATGGTGAAAAATAAATATATATTCATAGATAATGTAAAATGTCATAGTGATAACATACTTACCTAATTTCATAAGCATACTCTTCATTGCGGAATTTTTGAATCTTCTATTGAAATTGCTTGCAATGTGACGAATGTAATAAACATGGTAAGCATTAGGAGGTTGCCACCCAATATGTGGATTAGACACAGCACTTTTAATACTTTGATGGCGATCAGATATTAAACAAATTCCAGTTTTATCAGTAACATTTAGACGGATCATGGCTAAGAACCATTCCCATGCTGATAATGTTTCTCCTTCAACAATGGCAAATGTTATAGGAAGCACACTGTTATTGCCATCTTGAGTTGTACCAATAAGCAATGTTTGCTTATACTTACCATACAAAAAGGTACCGTCTACCTGTATTATAGGCTTGCAAAACTTGAAGGCTTCACGACATTGCCTAAACGACCAAAATACTCGATGAAAGACTCTGAATCTATTATCCATTACATTACCTCTCACATAATCATTGGTCTCAATTTTGTAAACTGACCCTGGAGCATGTAATTGCATGTATTCTAACCATCTTGGTAATGTTGCATAAGATTCATCCCAATCACCAAATATTGTCACAATTGCTTTTTGCTTTGCTTTCCATGCTTTTTTGTATGAAACTGAATACCCAAATTGGCCACTTATTCCCTCTTGGATTAATGAAACGGGAACAGAAGGTTCTTCTTTGACCATACCTGTCAATAAAATTAAACAATACATCTCAGCTAATGATCATATCCAAATCATTTTAAATACACAAATAAATATAATCTCAATTGAGTTTCACGTACCAATAATGCATGAACAAATAAAATTTGAATCTAACTTTTTGTAGTCTTGAGAAATCATAGTATTAACGCAGGTATGCATACCACCCCATCTCGTAATTTTCCACTTATTTGAATTTTTGGGAAGCAATGCTCTTACTTTCCAAGGACACCTGGAAATATGATTCACACACTTGACAAAATGAGTTGATGCTTTTGACTCAACCACAAAAAATGTTTGATGTTTCTTCATTGCATAATGTTTTATCACCATCTTTACCTCCTCTTTAGAGTCAAATAGTTGTCCAACATATAATGCATCTCCTTGTACCCATGATTGTGACGAATGCAACTCCGAAAAATTCAATTCTTGATCAGGATGTTACCAATTAATAGCAGTGTAGTGTGAACTTATGTTCCAAAAAGGTGTTATAGAATCTGTATTAAACTCAACAAATTTTAGTTAAAAATATTTAACAATTATTGTATTATATAAAATTGTACCTGCAGATTGTCCTTGCATAATGTTATTTCTTTCAGTGTTTGGAATTGTCATCATTGAATCGAAGTCATCTTCCAAATCAGTATCAGAAGAACTATCTAAAGGAATTTCTCCTTCATCTTCATAGTCATCATCGTACTCATCTTCGTCATCTGTAGATGCAGCAGCAAATATTTATTAACAAATTATAAAATTTTAAACATCATATAATTGAAATAAATATTATACATTACCTCATCCAATTGCATACTCTTCTTCATTGTTACTAACAGACACAGTTGGAAGTGATACATTTAAACATAACAAACTTTCACCTACATGAGAAGTTTCACCAACCGCAATATCCACATATAACTCAACTACTCTTTCATGCCGTTCTTCACAAGCACTTATCATACAGTCAATGTCTTCATCATCACATACATCTAAAATTGTGTAATTTTCACTCCTTGAATCAACTAAAATTCGTGAAATTAGTCTAGAAATTACATTACTATTGCACAATTTCAATTTTGTATGTATTTTTTTTTTCAACATCTCAAAAGTAATTCCACGTTCTATTTTAATCATTTTCTTATTCCCTTCAAATATGATACCCTCATTTCCTTCGTACACTCTTCCATTCCAGTATAAAATAACCACAATTTCAGTCATCCTGTGTATCAAATTAAAAAATACAACCAAAATTATTAAAAAAGTTTACCTAAACAAATAGTAACAAAAATAATTACCACAACATTAAAATAATATATTTTTACATTTATATTTTCAATAATATTATATTAACATTAAATTAATTAAATTTATTACTACAAATATTTTTATTTTTATTTATTTATAATAATAGTAAAATTATTAATTCAAATTTATTTACAATAATAAAAAAATTTAAAACAATAAATTAATAACATTCTAACCTTTTTTTTCCAGCAGAAAAGCTCACAATTGCGTCCCCTCTCCTCACAATTGCGGAATGCAGCAGCAGAATGCTCGGCGGGAGCCTCTATATATTAGGAAGATAGTGTCGGCATTCTTTCAGCCGATACACAAGTGTCGCATAAATAAAACCGACACACATGACTTTTGAGAGCGGTTCAATTTGAACCGCTCTAAGAAGTGAATTTTAGAGAGCGGTTCAGGTCGAACCACTCTCAAAAGTCCATTTTAGAGAGCGGTTCGATTTGAACCGCTCTCAAAAGTCAGTTTTAGAGAGCGGTTCAATTCTAACCACTCTCAAAAGTCGCTTTAGAGAGCGGTTCGACCTGAACCGCTCTCAAAAGTCAGTTTTAGAGAGCGGTTCAATTCTAACCGCTCTCAAAAGTCGTTTTAGAGAGCGGTTCTATTTGAACCACTCTCAAAAGTCCGTTTTAGAGAGCGGTTCCGTTACAACCGCTCTCAGTAGTGGGGTCTGACACCTGTGTCGGCATTCTTTCAGCCGATACTTGATCATGTGTCGCCAGACGTTTTGATGACACTCACATTTCACTCTAAGCAGGGAATTTCTTATCAAATAACCCCATACGGATAAAATGTTTTGGTTTTAACCCTATACAGGCAAAAAACCCTAAACTCACCATTTATATTAATATAAATTTTGGTCAAAAGTAAATAACAGTTTTTGGAATATGTGATGAGCAAAGAGCAAAACTTATACAGCGAGATCCAAAGCGATTTATTGGCCCAACAATGCAACGCGATCCTTCTGTGCTGCTGAGTTAGGTTGATATCAAAAACCTCACAACGAAAACGCATAGGCATCTCCATCTCATAGAATGTAAGAAGGGTTCTTCAACACATAATCGGTGTACAATTCGTATATGAATTTCAATAAATTTTCCATGTGTTGTGTTCCACCCTCACAGACCACAAAAAACTTCGTTCCTGTGGGAGAGGGAGATAATTATTTTCATAAGGCATGCATAATCAATATTTAAATAAGAATTTTGCAAACGAGCGTCTTAAAGACATATTCAGTTTTATTATAAATGTTCAATTTTTATTTTAACTTTTAGAAACATAGGTTATTAATTTTTTTAATATAAAATTTTAAATTTTACATGAATACTGATGTTTATATTGATAAAAAAAATTATTGCTTTAAATTTATGGTTATAAAGTTAAGTTATACTAAACATAAAAAAATCAAAAAAATTAAGTTATAATAATTTTTTTTAAATTATTATTAAAAATAATTTATCGAAGGTCTCGTATGCAAATAATAATGAATAAAGTTTAAATAAGATGCTATAGTACTCATTTTTATACTCATATTTTAAAAGAATTTCATACTTGTGTTTTTTAAAATAATTTATCTAAACCTATTCTCATATATGTTAAATATTCAAATTTTCATATCTATATCATTATCAACATTTTGTCAATTGAAATATATTTTTAAAGAGAGGTTACATTATTATAAAATAAAGAACATTTTTTTAAAATACTCAAATAAAATATTAAATTATAAATAAAATACTAAATTATAATATTAATACATATACTAAATTATATTATCCTAAACTTTATATTTATATTTTGCAGGTAAATGAATATGGATAGTAAGTGTCCGTACTTTGTGAATATTTATTTATACTTTAATCCAAATTTACTAAACAAATAAAGCAAATGTTGATCTACCTACCGTAAATATTTTCTACAGATAGCTAAATTCTTAGTTGCGTGTAGAAGTTCACTACTTAGTAGCTAGGATTGCCTGAGTTGGCACAAACAACCATACCTTATGCAAGAAAATCTTGCATGTGATATATATATATATATATGCAAGATTTTCTTCCGCGGTATAAGTTCGGAAATTTTTATTCTTATATGAATTTTTTATTTAATTTATATTTAACAAATTATAATTTATTAATAAAAACTTCAACTTAAATATAATTTTTTTTAAATGATATAATCCTTCCTCTATATGTATATACATACACGAATAACACGGTCATCAACAACTAGAATACATTCAACCATTTTGTATTAAAAATAAAACGAAAAGATGAAGAAAAAATTTGGAACACAAATAAGTGCATCATAGAACAAAAGAAAAGAATGGAATCACAAGAAAAAAGGTGTAGATCTAGATGCAGTAACGTTGTAGAAGGATGAAATCGTTTTCGCGATGTTCAAAAAAGTGCGAAACTAGTGGTTATCACCGGTAACCAAGTAACCAAGAAGCAGCAATCGAGGTCGGTCTTTCTATCCCTAAAACCATATATATATCACCCAAACCTGAGATTTCAACAAGCTTGAAGAGAGATTAGGTAGAGAACCACTTGCATGCAGCAATCTCTTGCCATTCCATTGCCAACAAGAAAAAGGGCGAAGGAGAATTGGTGGAGGACACGGGAGAAAAAAGGAAAAAGGAAAAAAAAAAAAAAGAAGAAAAACTTGGGGAGAGAGGAATCAGGAGGAGAGAGGGAAGAAAAAAAAAAAGTATTTTGTTAAATAAGAATTTTTTATATTTAAAATGTTACAATATTATTTTGATGTTAATTTATTTTTTTATTCAGTACCTATACAAAATGTTTGAACAAAATTTTTAAATTAAAAACATTTTTAAAATAGTTTATTCTATTATCATTTTTATAACAATTATTACTTTGTATTTAAATAATTTTTATTTAATCTTTATATATAACATATTTTTTTATTATAATAGTTATATATTACACATTTTTATTTTAGCTTTTATATGAAAAAAATTAAATTATATGAATCAAGATAAAAAAAAAAGTGTCACATGGGAAATAAAAAAAAATTGTTAATGTATAGAAGTCAAAATGAAATGTTTAATATATAATTTAATGTTTAATATTTTAATAAAATATATTTAACGTTATACCAATGTACATGTAAGAGATTATTTGAAAAGTTTTTTTTTAATTTTAATAAGAAATTTAAATAATTTAATTTTTTTGTTAAAGTAAATTTTATTTCTTTTTTAAATTGGTTTAATAAATTTAATCATACCTTGTCTATAATTATTTTTTGTATCTGTACGATCTAGTTTATATAAAAATTTTAATTATATTAAAGTTTAATATATGACTTATACCTTTTTAGAAAATTATTTAAAATTTAAGTTTAACTTATACAACAAAAAACAATGCTTAAATTTGACTCATTTATTTAAATAAATAAGATTTAGAGTTTAAATTTGACTTAATTAATTTTAAAGCTTGAATTTGGTTAATTATTTTATTTAAATATTTTTCAAACTTTAAATTTAATATATAATTTTTATGCTAAAAAATAGATTAAAAATTATAATAAAATATAATTTTATTTACTTTAAAATGCCTTAAGGTTAAAAATATTTTTTATTATAAAAATAGTGTATTTATTTTTAAAAATTTATAGTCACTTATTTAAAATATAACTCTTGAAAGTTAAAGTTACATATCCAAAACACATATAATGATAATAGTAAAATAAATATAGAATTTAAATAAATATAATAAATAAAATTATAATTATTCAAGTATGCATGTATATATGAAGTAATCATGAATTAACTGGCTTGGAAAATTTTAATTATAATTATTTAATGTTGTCATATTAAATAAAGTATATTAATATATTGACTTGGAAAATTTTGATAAGCATTGTTGCAAAGTCTACTTCCTTAATTTTTAAAGGTAGTTATAGATAAAAAATTTAGTAATTTTATATCTGAGTAATATATTCTATCTATACACATTTAACTGGCGGATGAAAATTAGGACATAAAAATTACTAAATTGTTGACTCTATTACTGCACTGCATTTGAAAGTAAAAGTCATTAATTTTGCAGCATTGCTTATCAAATTTTAGAAGTAAACAAACTTACACTTTATTTAATAACACAATTGCAAAAGAATAATTTTTAAATATAAAACATACATGCTAGTTTCACAGATGAAAATAAATGCAAATAGATAAAATATAGATAGAATTAACCAAATTTTGAGAATAATAGCTGTTTTAACAGAGTGATTCTAAGGTCCTTTCATAAGTAAGAAAAAAAATTTCCTTTCAAAAAATTGTATAATATTAAGATGCATTATAAACTGTTCGATTGAAAAATTATTTAATCTAATAGATAATAATATTTTGGATAAAATAGTAATATTAAAAGATAATTTTGTAATTTATTATTTAATCGTCATCTTCTCCATTCGACTTCGTACCCTTGCATATGTTTTTTCCTTTCTCTATTATTCCGTAAATTCAAGTAACAATCAATCTTTTCATTTCTTCAGTATTTTGCAAGTCTAAATTATTAACCATCATTCTAACTGTCCACTTGATAATCGAAGACAGATGGTAGCTTAGGAGATAGGGTTTAGTTGAAAACTTTGCAATTACTTAACTTCTTTTGCAAACCTTCAAACTTGAAGAAGTAAAGGAAAATATACAATCTTTATAACCTTTTTATACCATAGAACTTGCTCTTATATAATTCAAAATAATCATTACAAGGAAGAATCAACATTTATTCCATCCTAATGTGAGGGAAGATTGAATTCATATATGCACTAATAATACTGATTTTGACTATTGAATCTCTCTAAGAATGAAAAAGGGGTGCTTCGAATCGGGAGTAATCACTAGTGATAGGACTAAAATAGGGAGGAAGGACAAAGAAGGGGCAACAGCTTCCTGGGTTTGGCTTGAATGGCGCGGTGGGTTTTTACTAGAGAAGACTCGAAGTTAACGCAGTGAATGAGGCAAGATTTCATTCACGCGGCTGTTTGGGGGGCCTTGTCATGGTGAGCTCCTCGTGGTTGGGTTGCTCTTCTGTGATAAGGGGGGAGGGGAGTGGTGAGGCGGACCCCTCTCAACATCGTTTCCAGCAGTATGGCTACTGTCTTTTTTGCAGCTTTTGTTGTTGCTGGAACTATGTGATATGGTTCAGCAATTAGCCCATTGAATTATTTAGTTCTACTCATTATCAATAGGATCAAGGATACTTTTCAACAAGAAATATATCGAAGAGTTGATGGTAAGCTAAGTCAAAAATAAAAGTTTATAAGAAGTTTGGTCTAAAATTCTAAAAAATTAACTTTTTATGATTACATGGACAATAATCCAGCAAAAGGGATTGCTTAGAGCTATACTTCCATTAGTTTTTGTATATTTTTATACATACAAAAAAATTCTCTTTTTTCTATTTTTACTTTAATTTCATAGATTTTTTATTTTTCTTTAATTTAAGGAGATTTTTTGGAATCCTATTTGAAAGAAAGTTCTATTTTTAGTTTATGGTATTTAATTTTTGTTAGAAGAAAATTATGAACACGAAAAAGAGAAAATTTTCTGATAATAGCGTTACTCAAGTTGGTGAACATGACCCTTGATACTTGAGAAGGTAAAGTAGGGTGAAACAGTAGAAAGTTTATTAGAATTTTTTTGAGTTTTATAGTTACGAAGGTGAGATGGTAGAGATATATTGATTGGGAGTAAGAACAGCGAGTTCTTCAAGTTAATGAACATGGTCCTTAATAATAAAGAAGGAAGAATAGCGTGAAATAGTAGAAGTTTCACCTAGATTTTCCTGTAAGTTTTGCAGCTAGTGGAGGTAGAGTGGTAGAGATATATTAGCTGGAGTTTAGAACAGCGAGGATCTACGATGAAAAAAATGATAAAATACGTACAATTTGAATGGTTGCACCGTTAATAATATTTGAATATAATTATATTATATTATATGGATACAAATCCTTTTAAAAAATAAAAAGTTAGTACTAACACCGCAGTTTGCGGGGAAAAGATTGGTGATGTGCACCACAAGGAATCATTGTTTATGAATAATGAAATGACGTTTTGTACATAGGGGTCTTATTTTAACACTCAGAATGCTTTTTAATGTTAAAATAATATTTCTGCTTTTGAAAGGATGCCATTCCATTGGTAAGGCAGCGCCAAAGTCCAGACAAATTAAAGGACTTACTTATTCTTCCCCATTTTATATTATAACTGCCAAGACTTGGTAAGCAAACAACATAAGGTCGTCGTTAATTATTACGATATAAGATATTATATATTCTCATTAACGCTTATAATTTTCTTAATATATTTAATATTAAAAAGTATTTATATTTTTTAAATTTATTAAAAATTAACAATAATAGTCATTACACATATAAAAAATAAAATAAAATATCACCATAAAAATTTTCTAGTTCTTCTAAAAGGAATCAAGTTTTGGAGTAGGGAGAAACGTATTATAGAAGATATAAAACGTAGAGCAAGAAAACTTTCTTCTTCGATCATCGCATTGAAACGATAATTGATCCGCGTTCACACCACCTTCTGTTTGTCTCTGTTCTAAAAGAATAATGATATTCTAACGGGTGTGAGATGAGTACAAGCACCAGACCTCAAAAGTAAAGAATATAAGAATAAAAATTGTGACATGAAAAGGAAAAGTTAACAAAAGTGGGTGGAAATAAATTGATGGAAAAAAAATAAAAAAATATAATTAGTGATAAAATAAAGATAGGGATGAATATAAATGAAACATAATAAATAAAAGTTAAAAAATAAAAATAGTTAAATAAAGATGTTTGCTATAGTAACTGTAAATTTGAAAAAATATTTTTTACTTTCTTTGTATTAATAAGTATAATTTCTTTAATATCTCAAAAATAAGAGATAAGAGAGTAATATTTTCCTATTCTCTTGTATTGAATATCCTTCTTTGTTCACGGTGACTTGATGTTTACACATATTAACCCCCGCCACACATACATGCTAAACGAGTCTTGCAAATTAAGTAATGACTGATTCTTTGGTTATCACCCTCCTTTATATTCCTTTGTAGCCAAGACAAAAAAAAAAAAAAAAAAAAACTACTCCATTTCTGCGTAGAGAAAATGGGGTCAGACGTCAACTACGAGTAGACATGATGATTTCTAATTCTAAGAGCATGGATCGTCATTGATTCCTCGTCCAAGACAACAAATTCATTGTCCATGAATAGTGGGAATACACCTTTAATTTACAAGACCATTTGAGCATGCACGATGGTTTCTACGAGCGTGTTTCGAAAATTTGATATATAAAGTGCTTCCGACAATGGTACTCTGCAGGAATGAACATCATGACTGGAGACTCATCTGGAGCAAAACTCACATGAGAAAACTTTGTAGTGGGATCAAAGCTTTCACTCAAGGTATGTATATATGTATTCCCTGTTCTGTTGTTTGCTAGTTTATATGAATATGTGTTGCTTGATTGGAGGTAGATCCATTTTGTTTGTATTTTTAACACACAATAGATTGTCACCAGTTTCCAAAGGACCAGCCTTCGTGAGTTTTGTTTGTTAGGAAATTAAGTTTGGGTTGCCAAAATTTTATTGCAATAATTATGTCACCGTATAAATTTCTTGTCATGACAATACAATAAAAAAAAATTTTAGAAAGTAATTCTGCACTATTTTAAAAAATGATTTAAATTGTTATAACAAGTGCTATGTAAAATATATATACTCAGAGAATAATTCATAATTTATTTTCAAAGTATAAATTACTAATCTGAATTTTGAAAGTACTGTTCTTTCCTTGTCCTTACATGAGTAATTTTCCATGCCACACTTCTCTGCAATTTCGCCTCACACGCAGCACCAAGAAGCAGCTACTTCCTTGCCCCCACTACTTTTTTGACGTACACACTTTTGGAACCACTCAGAGAATTTCCTCGCCACCATATCACGGATAAGAGAGTAAGATTTTCCTATTCTCTTGTATTGAATATCCTTCTTTGTTCACGGTAACTTGATGTATACACATATTAACCCCCGCCGCACATACATGCCAAACGAGTCTTGCAAATTAAGTCGTCTAAAAGCTTAACTTTCAGGTCTTGCAAATCAATGATATCACTTAAACCATGGATATTTAACGTAGAAGAGATGTATAGTGATTAACGTAAGAGGTAATGAAAGGTTTCAGTGTTTACTAGTTTAATTTCACATACCCATAGCCTTTGATCCCTCTTTCCATTGTCCAAGCCATCAAGCCTCTACCATTAAACTCCTCAACGACTCAGCCACCAATCACCATGGAATCAAAGTCCATTTCGCCATATTTCATGCTCCAATCATGTCCCGTGTCACCATCCTCCATGCCCCCCAACTGGTATCGTAATCATCCACAGTATTTTTTTATTTTTTTTTGTTTCTTCTTTCATTATATTTGGTTTATATATATATTGCTTATAATTTATATAGTGGGTACTACTATTTTATTTTGTCATAGGATAGGTGCTATGTATATTTTTTTTCTCAATTTTTTTTTATCAACCTTGATAATTGATGCATTGGTTGTGTGATGATATTATAACTCAAAAAATACGTTAAAACAGAATAACAAACTTATTGTTAGTGTTCAATTCAATTAAGACTGTTAATTTATTTTATAAAACTTGTTTCTAGTCTTCATACAATAAGACATTAGGTAAAATTTTTGTAATCAATTCTTAATAAACTAGTAAACGAGATTTGATTGTTTTCTCTCGTAGATATAAGCCACATTAGCTGTGTCACATTAAAGATCAGGTACTTTTCTTCTTTTTCCTATCTTTTTAAAATTTTTTGCATTTTCTATTTTGTTATTGTTTCTGATTTATTTTGTGAGGACACGAATCTACAATAAAAAATATTTTAGAAAAAAAGTGATTCTGCACTATTTTAAAGAATAATTTAAACTGTTATAACAAGCATTGTTATCTAAAGTATATATACTCAGAAAGTGATTTATAATAATCTTCAAAGTATAAATCATGAATCTAAAATTTAAAATTTCTTCTTTCATAATTTATTTATTATAAACTAAAATTTATTTATTTATATTGAAACTCAAGTTTATTTTTCTGACATTCAAAACTTCATTTTTTATGATTTTTTTAATACAAATTAAAATAAATTTTTTGTGTGTTAAAATTTAAGTTTTTATATTGTGTTAACTAAATAGTCCACATTTAAATGAAAAAAACACAAGTAACAAAAAAAAGAAATAAGTTCCAATGTTAAGAGAAAGAGAAAGAATAAAGAGAAAAATGTGAAAAATATAACTAATAAAACAACTTTATTAATATAAAGAAAACAAAGAAACAACAAAAAATATTCATAAAATTACTGAGTTAAGCGACATTTTATTCTTACATGCGTTTATAAGTTAAAAATTATAAAAGTTTCTAAAAATCTTAAGTTACAAGAATAATTGACATATAACTGCTCTTTAATGTGACTTTAAAAAATGATGCATAATCATACTATTGATTAAATTTAAGAAATAAAATGACTTAATGTAAACAATGATTTTTGAATTTTTAAATGATTTTGTATAATTTTAGTTTGTTTCAAAAGGAAAAAAAATATTAAGATAGATAATAAAAAATATGTTAGCACCGACTATTTACAATTAATAAGTGATAGTTAAGAATAATGATTTTCCATAATAAACACACCAAATTAGTTAAATTAGTATAAAAATTATCTTTTTTAAGAGTATAATTAATAGATATACACAAATACATTCCCGTAATCACACATATACATATATGTTGACATCATTAAATACTTTAAATGCACATTTAATGAGAATTCCACAATTACATTAATAATTAAATACTATTACAAAATTACACTAAGTTGGAGAAAATTGAAGCATAGAGCTTCTGTATATATAAGGAAAAAGACTGCCTGCCAACTTTAGTTGTGTGTCTCACTCGGTTTAAACTGACACCCAGTAGAGTCAATAGTTTGGCCCGTGGTCCACTGGGCGTCGAATACAGTGTTGCATGACAATCTTGCATCATCACCGGCAATGATCAGAAAAGAGAGACTTTGTCCAACGAAGGAGCAGTTGATCCGCCAGTATCCGTCCCCATCCCATTGCATGCGTTGCCACTGCTGTCCTCCTGACCCTTTGATAAACAATTTTTTTATATTCCCTGCACCTGCCATATTTTCTGGCAAAACCCGAGTGAGGTTATCGTGGCCTGTGATTGTAAACTTTATGCCGCCTACTTTTGCACAGAACACTCTGTCACCATCGCCAAATATAAGATAAATGCTCAGTAGTTAGTGGGGAAGTAGAAATAATAAAATTATACACAATCAGAGCCATTAGTAACAAGCCATTATAAGCTTATTCTAGTTCATGAAAGTAACTTATAATTCCTATTCCTGTAAGTTCTAACTTATTTCAATAAGTTTATTCACGTAACATAACAAAATAAGTTCTTTTACCTTATTCTAATAAATTTCAAGATAAAATTTATGACATAAACTCTCATGTATTAATAATTTATTAAATAAAAGTTTAATTAAGCTGTTTACCTAAATACATCATAAATCCTCTAATCTTAGGTTATCCAATACATTAGTTGATCTGCACGTACAAACCTGCTAGCCATCACTGGAGTATCTGTAACTTTGTCATTAGCGATTCTCAGCAACGTTCCTTTTCGCAGTAACAATTGTAGCAAAGGGTTGCACGACTGAGAATTGCAGGACAAAATAGAATTTGGACGAAAAGGGCCAGCAATAGTAACATCAGTGGGCACTGATTTACACCAAGGCTTATCCACGCACTCTATTCTAAAGCACGCATTATGCATCAAACCATTTTTATAGGAAATTTCGTCTAGTAATGCAGTGTCAGTTCCGTAATTCCCATTACCATTTGCCCCTCCTACATGAAAATGTGATTCCAGTGGTCACTCAACACACCATATGAATGTAAACAAGCACAATAGTTGCAAAAGATAAGATAACTATTTCGTTAACAAATACATGATACCTGGAAAAGAGGCATCAGAGAGAGTAGCATGGCCTGGAAACTGAATATCATATACAAAAGCACATACAACACCGATGAGACCAATTAACATAAATGGCATCATTAAAGATGACTTGGGCGCCATTAGAGTTTCACTGAAACAGGAGACAATGAGTCAGTCGCAAGCTGTCTAAAAGCCTAATTAGCCCTAGCCCTGGCCCAGGTAGGTTAGGGCCAAAAGGCCCAATAAATCAAAGGCCCTATGGGCTAGGGTTAGGGCTTTATGGGCTAAAAAATTATATTCAGAGGATATATTTTACTAATGAAAATATCACAACATAACATTGATTTCATAGCAAAAATGTCAGACCAGAGATGCTGCCAAAGTGTCTAAATAAAAAAAGTTAATCATAAATTACAAGACAAGATACAAAGCTTATATCAATATCTAATATTAAATAGACTTCCACATAAGCTTAAAGTTTTTTTGCACACTAATGCATCTTGGATTGGATTCAAGACCACATGCTTAAGGGATCTAAGCCCCTTCTACTCGGACCAATACAACTTTGTACATTATATTAACATTATTCCCTTAACAGCAACCTGAATTACATAGCATCCTTCAATACAATAATAGTTTTGGACCTAGTTACTTAAACCTGAACTATACCTTTCCTGAAATTTAGGTGTTCTATGCAAAAACTCCAATCTAGAATGTGGAGACAAGAGTTCCCTCAGGATATGTTCGAATCATCCTACAACCAAAATAGAAAATATAAACACATTTTTAATATATATCGTAATAAGCCCTTAATAATGTGTTGAGCGACAACAAATGGCAAAAGTAGTTAGGAATGAAGGTATAACATCTTATAAAACAAAGCAAACTTGTACAAGATTGTCTAACAAAACAAAGTAGTAGTAAAAATATTTCTCATGGAACTATAAATGGTCTTTTATATTTATTTTTTTTGTCTCTTCTATATATTAAAAAAGAGTGACCATCTTTTTAATTTTCTTTTTTGGTGAATTTACAAAGGAAAAGAAAAGATTTGTTTCTGCGATGAATCAGTCAAGTTGTGCAACAGTGTTCCTTTGGGGGAAAAAAAGAATTACAAAATCAAAGTTTAATTTTTGTTTGTGTGAAAGAATGCTATAAGTGCTCTCTATTCCAAAGAAAATTAAGCACAGTTATCAATAAATGACCACTTTGTAGAATATAATACACAACTAGAGTAAAAATTCATCCTACTACAATTAATTGGATGAATGGGTAGATACCGAAGAGATTATGACTATGCTTAGCAAGGTAATATGAAACTAAAATCGAAAGCCTATAAATATATGGATATGGACTAGTATGAAATTAAAGCTCATAACATAAATATTGACCCTAATGTATATTAAGGTGACCCATTCAACTTTATAATTAGATGTTCATGAATTGGAATTTAATTAAAACTTACGTTCATAACAGGATTGGGCAAAGTTGTCAAAAGATCATACAGCCTCCCTCTGCTAAGGCCTGCATCACATATAACTGAAGCAATCATTAATATATATGAAATTGATGAAATAATGAGATGCGTGTGGAATGATTTTGTTTTTTAATTTGGTCGAAGATGCGCGTGGAAATTGAGTACCAAGAAGATATAAGTAATTTGTGAGTGTCTAATTGTTAAAGCAAGAATCAATATATAGATTCATTTATAAATGTAAATAAAATAAGAGAAAGTACAAATGATTAGGAAACAATGTGAGAGCAGTCACATGATATCAGTTCACAATGGACATGGAAGGATATACAAATAGTGCCAACTAATATACTACAAAGCTCCCAAAAACATAACCTATATAATCGAATAAGAGAACCCAAATTCATTTGTGTGGCAGCCATATTCATTCAAGGAGTTGAAGGTCAATTTTCTGTTCTTACTACAACTCTCAGGTACTTGACAATTGTTTGAAGGATGGAACAAATCTGAATAGTGAATCTTTTATCACAGTATAAGAAGCTTTTGATTGGGTCCTTTCAGGGGTACAAAGAGATAGGAATGAGAAAGTGGAACACATAGCCCTTACAAATCATACACTTAATTTTGGGATTTTGGGTAGCATTTAATCATTTTTTTAGTTGCAGAAAAATTAATCATGATCTAACTTATAAGAAATCAGGAGATAAAAGAATGAATGGACAAAATTATTTCAACCCAAAAAACAGAGATTCCAGCGAGAGAAGATAATAAACCAAGTACAATCAAATGAGTATTCATGCAACAAGGGAGATTATATAACAATTAAATATTACAACACAATATCAGTAAAGTTAGGGGTGAGTGTTGGAGCAGGAACCATGAGAGTGTTGGCAGAAGTACTTTGAAGCGAAGCCTTGGAAGAGGAGGGAAGTGGTGGTTCCGCAAGAAGCTATGAGAGTGTTGCCAGAAGTACCTAGAAGCGAAACCTTGGAAGAGGAGGGAAGCGGTGGTATTGGCTGCAAGAAGCGATGCGAGTGTTGGCAGTAGAGATGAGAAATGGGGCGAATTGAGTGGAGAAGGCAACCAGAAATCCCTAGTTTGATTCGAAGAGAGTAAAGTGTAGGTTGTGGGCTTTAAAGCCCATATTCACACTACCATCTACGTTTTATTGTTTTTATGTCAACACTACTGTCTACATTTAAAAGCCCATATTCACACTACTATCTACGTTTAGGAAATTGTTTTTGGCATCGCAATATTTTTTAATCATATCACCTTTTTCATTTTTTAAAAGAAGCAAAAAGAATGCGAGAAAAATAAAAAGGGTCTGTCGGACCTAGTTCTATTTACGTGATATGGGTCTTTTTTTAAGATTTGCATAGCCTATTATTATTATTATTATTATTATTATAGGTTGGTTTATTAGGTTATGAATCCTTACTAGTAGCTTGACCAATTTTCCATTATAATTGTACACTCATGCAAATTTAAGTTTCCCATGCAAGAAGTAACACATTGTACATTGTACAACTCCTGTTGCATTTTGATCTCTTAAATAAGTAGGATCAACTGTTTTTTTTTTTTTAATAAATAATGGGCAAGTAAACTATTAATTTAGTCTTAGTATTTTAAAAATACATCAAAATAATTTATAAATTAAGTAAAATATTATTTTAATCTTTAATACATGCAATTGTTAATTATTTTAGTTTCTATAATTTCAAAAATTCATAAAAATAATTTATAATCTAAATAAATTATCATTTTAATTTTTAATGCATGTAATCATCAATTATTTTTTAGTCTTTAATATCTATAATTATCGATAATTTATTTGTATCATGACTTAAATATTAGTTATTCTAAGGATAAAATAATTTGACATATTAAATATCATGTAAACATAATATATGATATTTAATGATAACGTAGCGAAAATAATTAATTTAGTCTTTATAAAATTTTAAGTTTAGAAATTATTTAAAAATTAAATTAACAAATTTTAAATTATTTTTTAAAGAATATTACTTTATCATGTTATTATTAAATGTTATATAACATGATTAACTAACATTTGTTAAATTAGTTTGTCTGTTATAATAACTAATGTCTAAACAATTAACAATTATATACATTAAAGATTAAATTAATTGATAATTAAATGCGTTAAAATTAAAATAATATTTTATTTACATTATGAACTATTTTAATAGATTTTTAAAATTTTAAAAATTAAAATAATTAATAATTATATGTATTAAAAATTAAAATAATTTTTTACTTAGTTTATAAATTATTTTAATAAAATTTTAAAAATAATACAAACCAAATTGATAATTTACTTACAAGACAACCTTTTACTTTCTTTTCTTTTAACTTCTCTCTTTCTTTATTGATTCGTTCTCTCTCTCAAAGTGCACCAAGCAGGTTTATAACATTTTTGCTACAAGGATTGGATTTATTTTTCATTAGACCGACATTTGCCTACTCTTGTTGGGTTATTTTCATTCAAAGTTTTCCTTCATGGTTTTAGTTTTTGGTTAATTCATATTATGTGTAATTGAGATCATGACTAGGGTTATGACAACCTAGGATGTAAATCCTATTATTATTATTATTATTATTATTTATAGCATATGTGTTTCCTTTTCTCCAATTGTGTTTATTTTTGTTGTGTTTACTTGAATGTTACGATTTAGCTAATTGTTTGCATGTTATCTAGTTGCGAGAGAGGAGTGATCAAACTAATCTTAATCAATGAAAATATAGGATAAACTAGATCTAAGGTTTTGATGATTACTCATAACCTTAAGTTATTAATTAGTTATTTAGTTAATAAACATATTGACACTTAAAGCTTTTCCAAATTTTTTAACTTGCAAGGTCAACAGGAGTAGTAAGGTAGAGATCATTTAAAAGATAATTTAACATGAAACCAAAACAAGTATATCAAGACTTTAAAGATAATTTTCTCAAACTTATTCACAAGTAAATGAATATATTGAGTAACTTATCCCAAAATGACTATTTGAAACTAGATATTTATCTTATTTAATTTATTAGTATTATTTGATATGTAAATTATCAATTTTTTATATATAATTTTACAACTTCAAATTTTGATTTTATTTTTTATATTTTTTGCCACTGTCCCGCAATTTATTTTTACTCTTAACATGACTCACTGATCTATCAATTGTAATGTTGATATTAATCTTGCTAATAATACTCACAGTCAGAATAAAAGTAATCAAATAATCGTGTTTTCACTAGATATGCTTGCATGCAAAGAAAATGTATGATATCAAGTATTTTTATAAATTGATTAATAGGAGCGGAAATAGATTATACTCTTCATTGGAGAATATGACAACTTACATAGATGGTAGTAAAATAATATTTGAATAAAGTTAAAGAACTAAATATAAATAAACATATATGAATATTTACATTACATAAAAATAAGAAATTTAAATAAAAAATAAAATTTGAATTGTAAGAACAAATCTTTAGATTTTTATGAAAGTAGACTTATATCTAAACAGCACATGAAAAAAGTTCACATCACATTAAAAAATCACCAAATTCTTCTATACATAATTTTTTATTTATATGCGATATAAATATTCATTCCCATAATTTAGATTATGTATATTTAAGGAAGTTCTAATTTCTTATATTTATCATGTGATTTAAATATTTTAATGAATTTTTATTTAAAATTTATATTCTCATATGACATAAATGCCTTTTAACTTAAATATTAAATTATTTTAACGTAAACTTTGTATCCATGTATAATCTTGACAATTTTTTACCACTTGGTTGTGTCTTTAACTTGAAGGAAAATTAACCTTCCTTTTAACCAATGAATATTTCAATGAAATTATTATATATTCTTATAAAATATTTTTTACAACTTAAATATTAAATATTATATGTGAATATTAAATTAATTCTTATTTCAGGGTTATACACCATCAATATATTAAAAAATATATAAAAAATTTTCTGACTTCTAAAATTAATTAATTATATGTTCTTTTTATTTAATAAAAATTTATCAATTAAAATATTTTTATCATATTAATGCATCAATTTATACCGTTATTGTGTAACGTCTCTACTTTTATATAATTTTAATCGTTAAGACTTTTATATGCCATCGTTACCTTGTATCCTATGCAATATAACTTTATCAAATGATATTTTAATTTTTTTCATTAAATAAATATCTTTATGAATCAATTCATGTATATTTATTTCTTTCATTAAATGGAATTAATTTCATATTTTAAATTTGCTTAAGTCATATAAATAACTTAATATTTAGTTACTTAATTTTATTTCTTCATTTTATCATTCAATTTATTTATACATTAATTTATTTATTTTGCAACATCATATATAATTTACATTGTCTCCAGTTGTCCAATAAAGTATAAAGAATTTATGTATAATTTATGCTATTTTAAATCATCTTTCAATTTGAATTTTTAAATTCAAAAAATAAATTTAAATATTTTATTCACAAATAAAAACATAATTTTTATGATTTGCAATATCGTGTGATCTCTCTTCGCTTTCTATATTATTTATCGTAAGATATGCGTATAACCGTTTATCTTGTATCTTAAACATTATAATTTTATAAAAATAATTTTAAATCTTAAAATAAACTTTCTTTTACTAAATAATTTAACTAATCAATTTCATAATATTTTAGATAGAACTACACAAGTTTGAGTTTTCTGTTGCACTGAGGGATACGTATGAGCAGGAACCGAACTCGTTAAGTCAAAACAATTTTCAAAATAAATTTTCTCTTTGCTAAGATACTAATTAGTATTTCAATAAATAAATTTTCTTCTTTTAAAAGTAAAATAGCAATACTTATTATTTTGGGGTTAAATAAATATTTTTTAAAATTAAAATAAATTAGCATAATTAATTTAATGCAACCATTATTTAAATGGAGGTTATAAAGTGCTAATACTTTCCCTATGTGTAAATGACTCTCGAACTCATTTTTTGTTTTAAGGATCATTTTATTTTCAAAGTTTTTCCAAAGTTTTCTTAACATAAACTTTGATGGCAACCCCTCTAATTTTTTTAGAAAATATTTTTTTATTCCTAGATGTTTTCTTAAAACATTTTTGCTATCCCGTTGCGACCATTCGATTATGACAATTATCAAATCATTAAGGATAGTCTTCAGCCATATTAACTAAGATTCTATAAGCTAGAACTCTAAATTCTGCTTCAGCACTTGATCTTGCCCTACACTTTGTTTCTTACTTCTCCTTGTCACCAAATTCCCTCCCAAAAACATGTAGTATCTTGTGGGTAGACTTTCTATCAACAACCAATCTCGCATAATCTAAATATGTATACATTTAAATAGATAGCATTTCTCTTTCTTAAATAGCAATCCTCTTCTTGGACTTCCTTTCAAATATTGAAGAATCTTATTGATAGCTTGTAATGTCTCTCTCTACGGTCATGCATAAACTAGCTGACCATGCTAACATAAGCAATGTCAGTTTTAGTATTTGTAGATAAATTAGCTTTCTCATAAGTCTTTGATACTACGTTTTGTCCATAAGTAAGCTTTTTCATTGTTTCCAATTCTATGATTCTATCTTATAAGTGATATGATGGCCTTACAACCAAGTTTCCTTGAGGAGATCAAGAACATACTTTCTTCGTGTGAAATGAAAATACCTTATTTTCAATAGGCAAACTCAATTCCAAGAAAGTACTTCAATTTTTCCAAGACTTTCATCTCAACCTGAGCGACTAATTCTTCCTTCAATTGTTGTTTTTCCACTTTATTGTCACATGCAATGATCATGTCATCAACATCCACTAACAAAAGGGTTAGCTTGCCACATTTTGAATGTTTTTATAAAATGTGTATGATCTCCTTGACTTTGTGTGTATCCCAAGGACACCATGGCCTAAGTGAATCTTCCAAACCATGCATTAGAGAAATTGTTTAAGTCCATAGAGAATCTTTTTTAGTCTACATACCTTGTTTTTACCATCACTCGAACCATACCTAGGGGGGATATCCATATACACCTTTTCCTCCAAGTCTCCATG